TCGTTATTGGAATACTTTGCAACTATAATCTCCGATCCCTTTCCAGAAGAAGGCGCTCTGCTGGATGATATAGGAATTGCGCTGGTCCTAATATCTTACACCTGAGCGGAGTTGCTAGTAATCCAAATCCCCGTGTATAAGTCAGTAAAGTGACTTGCATTTAAAGCGTATTAATACAATTTTTTTTGAAGAACGGACTAACTTAATATGTAATACAGACCCTTATTCTGTGCTTGCCTTGAGCAAACTACAAAACTTATACGCTGATTCACCATGTTACACTAGGTGCCCATCTAACCGTCTTGGCTGCTCCACAACCGCTGCTTCTATATGGGCTGTCTAAAGTCAGGTCTGCTGTCTCTCCAGATTGTGACCCCAGGGCCGTGGATGCCTCGTTTTTGAACGTTACCAGACGTTCGAATGCGTAGGCTCTGATAATTGCGGAGTCATCTGAAGTATCATTTGCAACTGCAGTTTTCTGGTCACCGTCGTTTTTTTCGTCTTCGTCATCATCATAGTAACCGCCTAGGTACTCTCCGCGCTCCTTTTTGTAGTGTTCTTTGACGTGAGTATTTACAGGAATCGTTACTCGCTCCAAAACAGAGGCTGGGAAGGGAACTCCATAAGCGTTACAGGAATTGATCTCTGTGGCAAATATCGTGGCATCTTTAACGTTCCCATTGGAGCTGTCCATTACAAAGTTCAATCTATGGGACTGCAACTTCAGTGAAGACTTCTTTGGCTGCAGTTGGCAGTGCTTGGGCTGGCACACCCTTTTCCAGGTGTCCTCGCCGCACAATCCATTGAAAGAACGTTTTCTCGATAGTGGGTTTGGGGATTCATCTACTGCCGCGGGCTGCAGGGGCCATGAACCCTCGCCCAGGTCAGAGTCTGTCTCCTTGTCGTCATTCTTGTCCTCCGCTTGTGCGCTGGGCTCATTCCGGAATAGCAAATTCAAAGACAAATCACCATCGTCCTCCTCGCCTTCCTCGGCCACGGATGTGGGTAGGAGCCCGGGGTCATCTTCTCTATCCAAAAAGTGTCTGGGTAACAATTTTTTTGATATCTCCGGCGAGCACGATGTCACCGAACTGGTCTCGCTGACTGGTGAAATCATGCTACTGTCACTTAGCGTATCATCATCAGAGGAGAGCAGCGGGCTGATAATCCCGAACTGCTCGGGAAAGGGCATCGAAAGTGTTTGCCGCACAACTTTCGACGGCTTCGAAGGAGACTCCACGATTGAATCGCCGCATGTCTCCGCCGGAATCCTTAACTGAATCTTCGGGCCCAACTTCAGCGGGGGCAGCTTCATGTCATCCGGCTCTAGCACATGTGTCTTAGGCGTGCACATTATAAGATGCTCCGGAGGCCCGTACATCTTGTCCTTCGGGGGCTCAATCATCGGCCACATTATCCTGCGTGCGTACTTTCAACGTTTGAAAGCTCTTTGTTTCTACCTGCCAGCACGGTCTCGGACAAAAGCCTAATGGAAACGGCAAAATGCGTGTACTGGACCATGGAAAGGCAAAGAAACCTCTCCGACGGCGCGATACTCGAGGCCGAAAATGTTACTTGTTTTATATCATTCAGTCTACATGGCTACAGCGCATCAGCTGCACGCTCTTCTGCAAATTTTAAAGATCTACTTAATAACATGCAGGTGAATACCTCAAAGGGCAATTCTTTCTTGCAACCATTTCAGAATGTAGTCCGTTGACAACAGCATTCCATCGGCTAGTCTCCTCGGTCGAGGCTGGCCGCCACTCGCTACCGGTCTCTATATTTGTTGTCTTTCCAAATTAAATCCCACTGGTACTTATCCGCTTGTTTTCCCGGAAACCCGCAGCTGCTACCCAAAAAGCCACGCAGCAGCGTTGATTGTCCGTTCCTGTGACATTCCTTCGTTCTACTGCCAACGCACCTCGAAAGATGTATCGGGATTTGCAAAACAAATTGTGGTAAGATGCCGCTGCCAGATTTCCGAAACGGGCACAGGTGTAAACAAATTGCGTGCGGTCTTCGGTAGCTCTACGTCGGCGCATTGGATCAGCAGCCGGATCAGCAGCCGGATCAGCCTTCCTGCAGGGCGTTTCTCCGCGCAGTGCTGTCAACTGCCAACTGTCTGCGTTGAAAGCCGTCGATCGATACCCTGTCTTCTCGAGCGCCAGATGGCCCAGTTCGGGAAAAATAAGAAATGATTTTAGCCTGATGTAAATCGGAACAAGAAGTGCCCAATTGCCCTCGGCAGGAGTAACGGGCCTGTAGCACGTAGCAGCAGATAACCAGCAACAGTGGCGAAGCTGGCAGGTATTGTGGCTGGGTTCTCCGCTGCCTGGTACCCACAGCTGCCTGCGTGGCCATAGCGCCCATTCCAACATGTTAGCTGTGCGCTGGGCACCGCGACCGTAACCGCGGCAGCCATGTCGTGTGCCTGCCCTTGAGCAGCAATGGCCAAAAAGCTGCAAATAAAAGGAGCACAGTGCCCTGAAACCTATATTTGGTAACGCCGTAGCGGCGCCAGAACAGTGCCTGTGAGCTTGCAGGGGAACATGGCTGGTCGGCGGTGTAACTGTGCCTTTCGACTCTTATTGGAGATTTATAGCGATTGCAGCTGGCGCGTATACTGCGGCGTTCCGATCTACAGGGGGGTCTGCGTTGTCGGTGGCACCGCGCCCCGGGCGCATTAGTTGGTAGTCATATGGGCAACCCGGCGGCGCCCCACTTCTGTCCAAAGGAATGCTTTCGCCCAGTCATCGTTAAGTCTACGTTGATTATGTTATCGGCGTTCTTCCCAACAGGCAGCGCCAGCCTATGACTATTCTTTGCCCTTCTAACCAGCGCCGCGCAAGGAGATAGGAAGCCGTCTCCGGAGCTCACGTAATCAGATTTGGGAAATCGGCCACTCCGCGGGCGGAGCCTCAACGGTGCCGCGACCTCCCGGCGCCGATCTACAGAGGGACAATTGGCACATGTGCACAAGGACTGGTGTCTACAAGAGGGTGCACATGTCACTTTAGTACAATGACAGCCGAGCGGTCCTGTAATATGGGGGACGATTTAGCTGAAGACTGCCGGTGTCAGCGCGTGTCACATGACAGCGCTCTGACGAGGGAGACGGCTCCCGTCAGAGACGGTACCGGCGTGTGCCCTTCATTACTGACTACTATCGCAATGCATTTGTCGCGAGTCCAAACTCTACTACACCAGTCACAAAACTAGTCCGGCAAAGGGGCATACTGACGCAGATCAAGAGTGCCATCGACATCGTCGCGACAGCAGGTCAAACCACAAAGACATGATAGAATGTATAAAAAGGCTCTAAGTATATAGTGGTAAAGGTACACTTGGTGTCTAATTCAGTAGTGCACTAATCTATCTCTGCTCCATAGAACAGGAACAAAACAAAACTTTCTTCGCTTCGAAAACAAAAGTATTGAAACAGACCTAATATACGATGTCCAGACTATTTCATAAGAAAGAGCGCCATGATGATGTGGTGGAGGAGGCTGTGGCCACTGTCAGTGAGGTAGTGGCTGACGGTAGCGAAGGTGAAGTGGTGACTGTTGATCTACCAGCAGAGCAGAAAAGCTTCAAAACGTTGGCACATATTGGGACATATCCTCTAGTGCAACAAACCAAGGATATCTTGGACCATCTTCCACCTGCCCGGATTCTAGCCGCCAACACAAAACCAATTGTGGTGTCCGTCGTCCATTCTAGGCCTGTGGCCATCGTGCGTCCTGTGGTCAATATCGCCGACTCCGTATTTGACAAGACATTGAGTGTCACGGAGAAAGTAGTACCCTCTTTGAAGACAAAGACATATCAGAGATTGGGCGAGGAGATCATGTTGCCATATACACTAACCAAGACGGTGATTGTCAAGACCACGAATGGAACTGTCAGCATCGCCAACAACTTTGTCTACGAACCAGCTCATGAGAATATCCTCAAATTCCGCAGGTATTACAACCAGAGGTTGATCGACACGCACGGAAAGCCGCTAATCCGGGGTTCTTTGGACTTCGTCGTCGGGCCCGCAAACAGACAGTATGAGAGGCTCATCACCCGCGTGCTACCAGAGGGGAAAGAGGTACCAGTCAACGGTTTCAGCAATGAAGTCGACAGAAGCGTCGCTTTGACGTTCAACTTGGTATCTCGCCTGATTCCAGCAGCAGCGAAGAAGACCTCCCGTATCGTTTGGAGCCCCTGGAATTACGCCAAACATGTGAATGATGTCTTTAACGAAAACCTAGACAAGCAGGAGGACCTATTGTGGGCACACTCTTGGGATGCAACCAAGAACGCCATCACCGAATTGAACGCAGAGACCATTGGGCACGTCAAGCAAATTATCCCAGGCGTCCGCAAGGCCAACAGGGCCCCAGCGCAGAATCCTGTCCCTGTCCAGCAAGAGGTTCCAAAACCCGCTGAACCCTTACAGGCGCCATCAGAATCCCCACTAGAACAACAGCAACCCCAGGTTGTGCAGGAGGCTGTTGCCGCATGATCGTGGGCCCATGGATTATGTAACCAATAGAATGAATGGTTTATTTCTTTTGTGGAAATCATAAGAACAGTTCTTCTTCCGTGTTTCGATCCCGTTCACTCGTTTTCTAGACCCATGCCAACCGAATTCGTACTGTTCCACTTCTGTTCAATCTTTATTACCTTGTCTGAGTTCAGACAGAAATAAGAAGCAGATTTGTCGTTTCTATATAGCCACCGCATTTATTGTTTAGTATCGATAGCACCTACAACAGGAGGCAGCTCACGTATATAACTACAGTAATCGCACGTTTAATTTAACATTGCGTCAGGCTCTTCTCGTATGAACTTTATTAATGTTCATAGCAAATTGGAAGGACGGACTACCAAAAAAATGTTCTTCCCCGCCAGGACTCGAACCTGGAATCTTCTGGTTTCAGAAGTAACTACTATCGTAGCCAGACGCCGTGACCATTGGGCCACGAGGAATAGAACTTATGGGCGTGTCCTTCCCCGCCAGGACTCGAACCTGGAATCTTCTGGTTTCAGAAGTAACTACTATCGTAGCCAGACGCCGTGACCATTGGGCCACGAGGAATAAGAACACGTTGGAGGTAGTTCGCTCTGGGAGTCACAAGTAGCACTCTCCTGGGGTGGTTGTAATTTCTCGACAGCATGTACGTGCAACCACATAACGGCACCTAATAGGGTCTCTTGCCTTGTGCGGGATAAGTGCCTCCTGAATAATAAGATTGCCTAGATCTGAAACGGATCTTCATGGTTCCGACCATTAGTAGAAGTGCGACCGGCGAAGAACTTCCTAGAACAAGGTATATAAGTGTTGCCTATGAGGATCTAGATGCTAATCGGTGCTAAAAGAGCTACTAGGTAACGCGGTAACCACTTGCGGCTTCCTACGCACGTATGATCGAATACTACTCACGTGATCTACATTGGCGCTCCTGTGTAATGCAATATGCAAGTAAGTAGTATATGGAAACCCAGATTGACGTACTTACATTATAGTACACTATATACGCCGAATCTGAGATCATTGTTTCTGTTATGAGGTTTCTCTATTAATTAAATGTTCTGATCTTTTACGTTTAAATTTAAAAGTCCGTAGCCACTAGAAAAATATAGATCCTAGAGACAACTGAGTAGTGAACCCTTCTCTAGGATCTTGTAGTGTTACTGTGGAAAATATATATGGACACAACATGTACACAACATAATTATTGTACAGGGGGATATTACATGATTACCGAATAAAATTATGAACAATATATTATGCCCAACGAAAAGAATAAAATTACTTGCGCTCCTCCGTTTCCTCCTGATCCTTGGTCTTGACGGTCACATTCGTGGATTTAGGAACACGGACGTACCAATAGATGGCAATGAACCCTATGATATTTGTGACCACATAGACCATGAAGATTCCCCAGTCTCTCCATCTGTTCTTATAGTAAATGTTAACTGATGCGAGATAAGAGTCCGAATTCTGCATAGGGCACACAGAACAAAAGTCAGTAGCTCGAGGGGTGAGCAACGTTGCCTGCCCATATTGCGCGAATGGTTGCAGATATTGGGCACAGGATTGCCCTGACGGTGGAACGAACCTCACCAACTCTTCAGGAGCACACTCAATCGGCGTTTTGCCGGCACCCGTTGACAAGAAGGAAGACACTAGGTAGGTCAATGGAGACAGGCGGTACATCCATATCCAGAAGCCAGGCAGCTTTTCCTTTGTGACCAAAACACCACAGAAGACTAAGCAGACCATGAAAAAGAAGTTCGCCATCATCGCAGCAGTTTCACGGTGCTCAATACCGGCGATACAGAATTGTCCAAAGGTGGAAGCAAAGATGTAGTAAGTCACACACAGTAACCAGAAAAGGAAGCCACGCTCTGCCCGATCTCCATCAGCAGCATGAATGTAAAAGCCAACAGGATAGTAGACGCAGAGGAATGCCATCGTTCCTACAAAGATTGCCCATGGAATCTCTGCTGTAATCTGAGACAAGACGAATGCCTTCCAAGAGAATGTCTTCGAATGCCTCTCTCTTACTTCATACAAGTCTCTCTGCTCCTCATATTGCGGTAGCATCTGCTGAATCAAGGGGTTGATGACCATTAAGAACAGGAAAATTGCGAACATCTGATTCTGCAAACCTTGTATCGATGTCTTTGACTTGAAGAACGAAAAACCAATGAAAAGAGCAGAGAATATACCCATGAAGATCTTACTCCATAAATATTCTGGAGACCTCCAGTATTGTTGGAAGACTCTCTTGGTAACGATCTTATATTGATACCATAAGGAAGCAGCAAATTCTTTGTTCTGATCTGGGCGCTCGTTTCTTGGCTTGTGCTGCAACTCTGCCTCCATTCTGTGTAACTCCTCTTGGACAGCACGGTACTCTTCAGAGTTTTTCCAAACCTCGTGATAGTCTTGAAGAGCTTGCGAACCGGGCGCAGCACCAATAATCTCCAACATAAATTCTGCAGGATTACACCCTTCAGGGAATTTTTGAGAGCCATGTTTCTCGAAGTACTCGACCATAGTCGCACACCCTTTACCTAGACCGCCGAAGTAAACAGTTCTACCACCGCCAGCTAACAGCAGTAGACGATCAAACTCCTGCATTAAAATGGCCGAAGGCTGGTGGATAGTACACAGGATGGCTTGTCCATGGTCAGCTAACTTTCTCATTAGTTGACAAATGGACCATGCAGTTTGCGAGTCTAACCCAGAGGTAGGCTCATCCAAAAACAGTAGCAATTCTGGTTTAGCCACAAGTTCAACACCAATGGTTAGACGCTTTCTCTGTTCGACATTCAGTCCCTCACCAGTGACACCAACAACGGCATCTGCATAAGGTTCCATCTCCAGCAATTTAATTATATCCTCAACGTAAGCATCCTTTTCGGCCTTCGAAACGGATTGCGGCTGACGCAAGTATGCACTAAACTGTAGTGCATCGCGAACAGTTTGAGTGCGCCCGTGAAGATCCTGCTGTTGACAATAACCGGTGTTACGCTGGAAAGAAGTGTCTCTGGGTAAACCATCAACAAACATATTACCAGTGACAACACCCATCCGGACACGGTTGGCCAAAACATCCAACAAAGTCGTCTTACCTGCACCCGAAGAACCCATTAGGGCGGTCAAAGTTCCAGGCTTCACCCAACCATCGACATTGGTCAAGATACGTCTTGTCTCCTTCTTAATCTGAATATCATAGCAGACATCACGCCAGTGGAAAATCCCATCAGAACCAATTTTTTGGATCAATTCGCGGGATTGGTCAGATTCTATGGTGCTAGATTCCTTACCTGGCACGTTACCGGATTCGACGTCACCTTTGACAGCCTTCTTGTTTTGCTTCTTTAGCTTTTTCAAAGTAGAGCGCAGGAACACTGCCATTTCACCCTTTTGCATTTCACCCTTATTATACTCGATTAAGAGCATGTAAAGACCCAAGAAGAAAACCGCATAAACGAGCACAATACCCCAGTTTCTCCACTTGTTCTTGGCGTAGTAATCGTAAGCAAGCTCCATATAACGAGTACCAGAGACTGTCGTCTGGCCGGGAATTGCACCCACGGAAAAGCAGACCTTGTTGGCAACGGGAACGTTCTCATAGGCAGGGCCAGAAGGCACCATCTGAGAACACTCGAAAGTGCGCCCATCAAACTCGTTGGCAACCATGGCTTCCATAGAACGTGCAATCGGATTCAAGTAAAAGAGCCATTTCGACCATCCCAAGATATTTTTCTTGGGAATAACAAAACCGACATACACGGATATAGCCAACAGTAGCACAGATGCAGGCAACATAGTCACATATAGCGTCGTACAGGCAGCACCGATAGTACGGAACAAGTGGGACATTGCAAAGGTCGAAGTCAGGGATACCAACATATAGAAGAAGAAGGCGCCGGCAGATCTTCTCAAGTTCACCATGAAATAGAAAGGCACATTGAAGCAGATACAGATAGCAACCTTAGCTGGAAGTTCAGTAAAGATCGAAGCAAACGCATCTGCAGAGGGGCGGTAAAATGCATAAGACTTGTGTTTTTCCACAATCGCCCGCGCCTCGAACAAAGACATGATTTCCAGGAAAGACGAGAAAGAGTTAAACAACACAGCAGTGAACAGCGCAGACCCACGGTAAAAGAACGATTCTGTATTAGGCTGTAGATTGTAGAAACACGATGCGAGAATCAGGCCCATAATAGAGTTCGAAATAATCGAGAACAGGTAAACCGACGCATCACCCTTGAGTCGCTGCCAGTTACGGTTCACAATAGCACGGAATTGCATGTAGAAAGAGATCAAGTAAGGAGACGATGACCGCACATGCTTGGCCTGGCGGTTCACATGGTGTTCCTTTAGTTGCTGCCGAGCAGCTCCCGTCTCGTACTCGCTCATGTGCATATTGATACGTTCCAGAACAGCAGCACGTTCTGGCGACGCTTGCCAGCGCTCGTAGAACTCCCGCGCAGTGCGAGGCACCTTGTCCTCGTATCCGGGTTGCGGCTGTCTTTCAGCCGGCGACGTCACGGACGTCAGGAAGTCCGCAGACGTCTGCTGAGGAGGACAGGCCCAACCCATACGCAAAAAGTAGTCTTTGGCAAACTCGCGGGGCCCAAAGTAGATCATGTAGCCTTCGTATAGAAGGAGAACATCATCAAACAGGTCGTAGGCGTCTTGAGAACACTGGTAGATCGCAATCAGCTGCGTCGTGCGCATCACCTGCGCATTGTCCTTTAGCGCCCGCACGAACTCCAAGGCAGTGGCGGAGTCCAACCCACGGGTCGAGTTGTCCCAACATTGGACCTTGGCGCCCGCCAAAGTCACCTCCGCAAGCGACACACGCTTCCGCTCACCTCCAGACACACCACGGATGTAGTCGTTACCCACCTTGGTGTTGCGGGTGTGCGACAGCCCGTACGTCGCCATCACGGCCGCCGCATAGTGCTTGTAGTATGTCTCGCGGCTCACACCGCCGGGCCGCACTTCCGGACAGCGGCACCGCGCCGCGAACTCCAAGGTGTACCCGACGGGCAGCGTCGCAAAGTGCGTGTCCGACTCTGCAGAGTAAATCACTTCACCACGCAAGTTATGGCTTATCTCCTTCTGCGAAAATCCGCTGTAGCTGACCTCAGAGCCCGGCGCAACTGTAAATCCGTACGTGCGTGCGCCCACCGTCTTCAGCAGCGTCGAACAGCCCGCACCAGGGCGCCCCAGCACCACGCACAACCGCCCGGCCTCGAACACAGCGTCCAACGGCTTCAGGATGTCAAACTCGCTCTTGTCCCGCCCCCGCGCCAGCGGCGTCATCTCGTACAGCGTGCGCGCCACCTTCAGCGGCCAGTTTCCAACCGTCGCCTGGTAGTCGGTATCCGTCGACACACCGCACACACGCAGGTTCTGCAACACCACGCTCAGCTCCGCCGGCTTGTAATGGTCCGGGTCGCTGATATACAGCTTGCGCACCGTCCGCACCCAGTACCGCGAATCGAACTGGTCCGACTCGGGGTCCAGCCGCGGGTCGCTGTCCGCGCCGAAGAACGCCAGCTCGTCCGCCGT